CAGGTTGATTCTATGCTTCTATGATTCAGTCCTTAGTATGTTAAATTATCAAATATTTTGATCTGCAGGTGTGTATTGTTAATCTGAGACACATCTTTAAGCCTAAAATTCTTGTAACATTTGGTGTTTCAACACTTACTCATTTGTATCGTTATTTCTTTTCATTAAACCCACAACTCATGTCATTTTGAACTCCACAGACTCTGTTTGCTGTGGGTTCACCTCCTGAGTGTAGCTTTCTGGGGAAGCAACATTTTAATGTTTAATATCAATTCAATGTCTGAAGAAACTCTGAGTGTGAAGTGTCTTTTCCCCATCAGGTAAAACCTCTGATCTGGATCGAGTCAGTGATTGAGAAACATTCCCACAGCCGCATCGAGTACATGATCAAGGTCAGCCAGCCTGAAAGAATTATGGCTAATTTAGTTCTTATTTGTTTCTTTTCCAAGTTTTTGGACAAGTCTTTAGTGTTTCTGTGGGACCTGCATAGGTTTGAACACTTCATTTGTAGGTTCTAATCTGTGTTCTGGTTCTCAGGGTGCAGGTTGGGGTGGAGGGGAACTGTGTGTCTCACAGCTCTCTGGACTCACCAGCACCATGGAAATACTTAAAGGCTGCTTTTCTGACTTCTTTTCTTTTCTTCTTTAGGCAAAAAGTCAGTTTAAACGTCGATCAACTGCCAACAATGTGGAGATTCACATCCCAGTCCCAAATGATGCCGATTCGCCAAAGTTCAAAACCACTGTTGGAAGTGTCAAATGGGTTCCAGAGAACAGTGAAATTGTCTGGTCCATTAAATCTTTTCCAGTAAGTGTTATTTTTATACTCTTCTCACACAATTCCCCTATTAATGACTTACCATTAATATTTTATTGATATTCAGACTCTGCCTAAAGTGAATTCTAAGAGTGTCTGACAAGCAGTACGAGTCTCTTCCTCTTTTCCCTTAGATGAAGGGTCAGAACTTGCTGATAGAAGTGGTTTATGTTTGTTTTACTGTGATATTTTTCCAGACCCAGGTTAGAGAGCAGCTTTTTGAGCAGTGCCTGTGGATGGTGTAATGCTTGGCCTGGCTTTAGCAGCAGCTGTCTGAGTGTGTCAGGCTCTGCTCCTTGGGTGGTTCCATGAGCATGAGCTCTGTCCACTGCTGGTGGTGTGATAGTACAGCTGTGTGTCACCATTTCAGCCTAGTTTCTGAGGCTGTGGCTGGAAGAAAATGAATTTATGCCTCAGGCTGGATCAGCAGCTTTAGAAACAACAAGTATTTTATAAGCAAGACCATGTGCTGACTCTGAAACCCTGGAGAAGAGCTGGAATGAAGAGTGGAGTTCAGTGTGACATAAACAAAACCACTTCTAGCACTGCAAGTTGTAGCTTGAAAACAAAAATCTGTCCTTTTTTTGGGTAGGGTGGAAAAGAATACCTGATGAGAGCTCACTTTGGACTTCCAAGTGTTGAAGCTGAAGACAAGGAAGGAAAACCTCCCATTAGTGTGAAGTTTGAGATTCCATATTTCACCACTTCAGGAATCCAGGTCAGTGCTTGGAAACAGAACTAGTGATGATATTTTGGACCAAAAAAAGGGTGTTATTTGTTGGTTTTTTGGTTTTTTTTTTGCTGAGTGCTGCTTGGCCAGCATGGGAGACTTGATATCTCACAGATGTTTCTCTCCAGGTTCGTTACCTGAAGATAATTGAGAAGAGTGGCTACCAGGCCCTGCCCTGGGTGCGCTACATCACCCAGAACGGAGGTGAGGGAAGGGAACAGGCTCTGCACAGCTCTCCCTGCCACTTTGTGTCTCCAGCACACACCTCCACACTGCCACACACCAGCTCAACTTCCTCCTAGCCTTGACTACTAAACTATACAGTTGAGCTCCATGGGAGATGAAACTATGCTGCTTTTCCCAGTGTCCTTTCTTGATGTCTTAATGCAAGCCCCAATGGGACAGAGCAGTGATGCTGTTCAAGTATTGCCTAATTAGGCTGGAATTTGGTGAGGTCAATTTATAACCACACACACAGTCACAATATGCTCACACATATTCTGCCAGATTTAAAGTGTATGAGACACTGACTGCTAAAAAATAATAGATATTTAGCAAGTAAAAGTGGTGGGATTTGGGTTGGTTAGATTTTTGGTTGGGTTTTGGGGGTTGTTTTGGTTGGGTTTGGGTCTTTCTGGATTGGGTTTTTTGTTTTTCTAATTCATTTTTCTCTGGCCTGGAAGTTTGACTGCCCACAATTACCTGTATCTCTTTGGAGCTTATTCTCATGGCCTTTCTAAGCAAATAGCTGAGTTTATTTTGTAGAATCAGAGAATCCCAGGATGGTTTGGGTTGGAAGGACCTTAATGCTCATCTCATCCCACTCCTGCCATGGGCAGGGACACCTTCCACCAGCCCAGGTTGCTCCAAGCCCCATCCAAACTGGCCTGGAACACTCCCAGGGATGGAGCAGCCACAGCTGCTCTGGGAAATCCATTTCAATGCCTCAGCACCTCACAGGGAGAAATTCCTTCCCAATATCCAATCCAAACCTTCTCCCCCTGCAGCTCCAGACCATTCACCCTCTCCCTGTCTTATTGCTACTTACATATTGCATCAATATCTATTGATACCAGACTACATTTTATCCCTTTATCCCAATTTGCTGCTCTGTTTTATTCCTTTTAACAAGACAAATTACTAAAACTGTGTTTTTTGTTGTTTTTTTTTCCCTTTTACAGACTATCAGCTCCGAACACAATAAAACACCTCACAGGCACCACAGACAACAAAACTTCCAGCCTGGAATTTGTTTGCAGAAGCTTCTGTGGTCCTGAGAGCTGTGAATGTTGTTGCCAAGGGTCTCATTTCCTCCACCTTGGATTGGCAGGAGAAAGATTGGAAATTTCTCATTTTCAATAATGTGTTTGAGCTTTTGACCCATTAGTATTGATTGTGTGAATATTTATTTCATTCTTAGAACATGCTGATCTTGCTGCTAAATGGCTAATTAAGTTAAGAGTAGCAGTTCCCCTGAGGAGCCAGGAATGCAGAATGAACCTTGGGAATGTTTTGTCGATGCCTTGTCTGTTACAGTCACAGAGTTTCCAGTGTTTGTGCTTTAGGATCTCTTGAAGACATTGGCAGCATTTGTGCTACAAATTAGGGAGATGATTGTGCAATTCAAGGACTGCTGAACACTTAGTTGTATTTAGCCCAAGGTATTTATTTTTTTCTGGGCATTTGGGTGCCTTAACTCATTCAAAGCTCTGTTAACTTATAAAACATGACAGAATATGAGTTGAAATTCAGTCCAAAAAAAATACTATTTGCTCATTTATTTTTTTTGCATGGTTTCAAAGCAATGAATCTGACAGAACAGCTTCAAGTGAAGGGTTTGGAAATAAAAAGAAGGGTTTGTTAAAGACTTAAGGTAACTGAGACCAGGAGATCACAGGAGTCAATGTCTTTGGGAAAGTGTCTGGAAGGATGATGATTGCTGGCTCCAGTCAGGTGAAGTGCAGGTGGAAAAATTCCAACCCTGTGGCACCCCCAGGGCCTGGAAAAACCCTCTGCCAACTGACCAGTGTTTGCTTTTTACAATTCCTATTCATCAAACAAGTTCCAAACTGTAATACATAGGCATCAAGCCTTAGATCAACTTTATTAAGAGACCAAAACCATTGTAGAGGTGTATGAGATTTGGTAGGAAGATTTGGGGGGATGTTATTATTATTTTTCTAGATAATAATATGCTCCAACCTCTTCCTGAAAACTGGTTTCTGAAGAGGCTGATAAAAGTGCAGTTGCCATCTTTCTGCCAGCTTGCCTTTGTGCTAACTTAGGGCAAATTCTTCCCCTTTTTTGGTCTAGTTTACTATATTTGTTTAGTTACCCCGAGGGGAGATGCTTTTCTTTTTTTCCCCTCAGTCTTTTCTGTTTGTAAAACAGCTCTTGCTGTAACTTCCTGGCAGAACAGGTAACAGCTCACCACGTTGTTACTAAAGGTATTATGTTTTTTTTTTCCATGCCAGTTCATGTATTTCTGAGAAGCTAAGGCTGGTGTGGGTGTACATAGTTATTTTAGTTGGTTTTTTTTTTTTGTTTTGTTTTGTTTTCCAGGAGAATTGTGACGGTTATCAGTATTTTCTTTACACAACACTGAGAATGTTTCGGTTTGAATTTAGCTTTCCTGAAGAGATGCTAAACTCAAACCATCAGAATCTAAACCATCCATGTCTGTAGGTGTAATGTCATACACTGTGTGCAAAGTTCTCCACTGGGGGGAGAGTCCAGGAGTGTCCACAAAGAGGGAGAAGTTCAGGCACTGTCCTCACTGAACCTTTAGGCTGTACATAGACAATTCTTGTGTATACAAGTAGCAACAAATGAGCTAAACTCCCCCAAGCTGCAGCTGCTGGGATGTTGCAGAAGATTTTGCCTCAGAAAATCTGATGGCTGGTGGTGCTTAGCAACAAACACACCTGGTTAGGCAACCACAGGTGTATTCTGGAGTGAGGTTACTGTATTTGTCACCCAAGTTTGATGTTGAAACCAGGTCAATCATCTTGTTCAAGATTTTGCTCCCACTACTCATATTCACTTGAACAATTTAAGCTCATGACTGGACTAAACATTTTTATATTAAAACTGTAACTGGTTGACAAATCACTTTCTGCTGACTTTATTCTTCCAAGTGTTTTGCTTTAATTATGCCTGTAAAATGTGACTCTTCATAGCTTTTGTTTTCCTCTTGAAGGTTGGATCTTGTGGACCAGAACCATGTTTGCTCATGTTTTGTTGCAGTTTGACTCTGTTTTGATGATGGGGCATCAGCTGTGCTTGTCCAGAAAGTAATAAAGGGCAGAAAGTCTCTTTGAATCAGTTGTACTTTGTTTGGGTAGGTTTGGGGTTTTTTTTCACAGGATCCCAGGATTATTCAGGTTGGAAAAGACCTCCAAGATCATTGAGTCCAATGGTTGACTGATCACCACCTTATCAACTAGACCAGAGCACAGTTATTTGTTGAACCACCTCCAGGGGTGGTGATTCTACCACCTCCCTGAGCAGTTACGATGCCTGACCACCTTTTCCATGAAGAAATTCCTCCTGATGTCCAACCTGAACCTCCCCTGGTGTAGCTTGAGGCTGTTTTCCTCTTGTCCTGTCCCTTGTTCCCTGGGAGCAGAGCCTGATCCCACCTGGCTGCTCCTCTGTCAGGGAGTTGTAGAGAGCAGAAAGGTCCTCCCTGAGCCTCCTTTTCTCCAGGCTCAACAGTTTGATCCACACCAGGTTGTAGCCTCTAAGCTAAGAGTACACCTAGTTGTTCTAATGTGAGGATAAGTAGCAGAGCATAAAAGCTGCAAGTATAGATACTCCTGATTTGTTCACCAAATACTGACAAAATCTTTGCTTTTCTGTTCTCTATACAATTCACCCAACTTGGTGCTCAGAAAGCAAAATAATGTGGGTTATTTACACAGGTCTGAAAGCACAAACAAGGAGATGGGATGTTACTCCAGCACTTGCTGTTGTTCAGGGAGGAGAGCAGTCCATTATGAAGTTTACCCTGTGACAAATCATATTCTTTGCACCTGTTTAGATTCTGTTTAAGAATTAATTGGCTCTGCCAGACATTTGACATCTAACCTGGATGGGATGAGGTTTGGAGCAACCTGAGCTAGTGGAAGGTGTCTCTGCCCATGGCAGGGGATGGACTAGATGCTCTTTGAGGTCACTCCCAACCCAAACCTTTCTGTTACTCTATGAGTAACCTTTTTTTCCCCCCAAGTTTTATTCTTAGAGCAACTACTAAATCTCTCCATGGCCTCTGTTCTCTGCCTCAGGTGCAGACATGACAATGTGATGGTTTACTCCATGCTCCAGGTAAGCTCCTCGTACAAATGACTTTTAAAAGGCAATTTGCATTACTCGAATCACCACTCAAATATCTTCTCTGTTTCAGCTCGCTGCGATTTCATAGCTCCAGTGTGGGCAGACTGCTGGCTCAGGATCTTCAGGCAGCAGGAAATATTCCTTGTCCCTCCCCAGGCAAGCAGACCTGTCACCTCATTACGCACGATTTAATTGCTGCTTGATGAGATAGTTGCCCCTCCAGGTGCGTCAGTGGCACTCCCCGTCGAGGGAGCTTTACTACCTCTAGTAGTAATCATGTGAGTAGCTGCTCTCAGCAATTTAGAACTGGAGTGGCCCCAACACTGCTGTCCCAGCCAGCGCTGCCTGCAGATGGCATTCCGAGCTCGCTGCTTCCCAGTCCACACCAGTAAGAGTCGCATGAACGCTCTGTACCCAACGCGCCTTGGTTTGGAAGGCAAAGCTATGTCAGTGTCTCTGAGTGCATGGAAACTAACAGTGAGGAGAAAGGCTTGGGACTGACAGGGGATGAGAAGCTCATCATGAGCTGCAGTGTGAGCTCAGCCCAGAAACCAAAATCTTGGGCTGCATCCACAGGAGTGTGGGCAGCAGGGCAAGGGAGGTGATTATTCCACTCTGCTCTGGTGAAATCCACCTGGAATACACAGTTCTGGTGTCCTCAACATCACAAGGACATGGAACTGTTGGAGCAAGTCCAGGGGAGGTCATGAGGTTGCTAAGAGCACTGGAGCATCTCCCCTATGAGGACAGGCTGAGGGAGTTGGGGCTGTTCAGCCTGGAGAAGAGAAGGTTGTGTGGAGACCTCAGAGCAACTTTTCAATATCAGAAGGGCCTACAAGGAGCTGGAGAGGGACTCTGTGTTAGGGACTGCAGTGACAGGACAAGGGGTAATGGGTTCAAACTGAAGGAGGGGAAGTTTAGGTTAGATATTAGAACAGTTTTTCTCTATGAGGGTGCTGAGACACTGGCACAGGTTGCCCAGGGAGGCTGTGGCTGCCCCAACCCTGGTGGTGTTCAAGGCCAGGCTGGATGAGCCTTGAGCAACCTGATCTGGTGAGGTGTCCCTGCCCATGGCAGAGAGGGTTGGGACTAGATGATCTGTAAGGTCCATTCCAACCCTAAAATTCTATGATTCTATGATTAAAACCCACCCCAAACATCATAAAGTTATTGGGTTTAGCCTTCTGCAGTGTGATTTTTGGAGCTGAGTAGTTTAACAGTTTGAACATTCCTGTTTCTTTTGCTCTGGTGTGGCTGATACTGCTCACCCTGCGAAGTGGAGCGAAGGGATCAGTGCCAAGGGAAGGGATGAGCCACTGCAGCACCACAGGAGCAGCTCCTCGGGGCTGGACATCAGGGTTGGACATCACTAGGTCACTAATTAAGGCTCAGCTGGTGAGCTGAAAGCTCCTGTGTCATACAACATATAGAAAGAGGATCCTTTTCTCCCACAGGTTTGGTTAACTCTAGAGAAAACTGGTTTTGCCTTGCTAAGAGCCAGAACTAACTTCCCAATAGAAAAACTTCATTCCACCTTGCTATTCCAGCTGGGGAGAGTCTTTCATTGAGTGTTTTCTTGTGTGTTCCTACCCTCCCTTCCTTACTGCCATCCTTCCATGCCTGAATACTGTTTGGACTGCTTAAATTTGCTTCCCAACTCTAACCTGAGCTAGTTCTGTCTCTAAAACATTCTTACACGTAAAGAGAGACTATGAGACTTTTCCCAGTGCTGGTTTTTCTCTGGTCAGGAGGTTGCACCTGTTTATTTCTGACTTTATTCTCTGACAAGAAATGGGCTAAACCTTGGCACCTCTGGCCTCATCTTGAGCCAAATGCAGCATGTTGCAATGCCTTCAGCACTCTATTTTTCCCCTCTGTGGTTGACACCCGCTGCTGTTTGTAATTTCAGCAGCCTTGGCACCACCAAGGGCTGATGGCCTTGCAAAAAAAAAAAAAAACACCAGCGTGGAGAGCAAAGTTAAGGGCCACCATGAATAACCTTAATTGCTGTGGTAATTAATTAGGCAGCAATCTCGTTTACACTAGGGGCGAAGTTATACGGAAAGGAGAGATCGTAAACATTCTTTTCCACGGAATTTTGTGCAAGTGTTGGATAAGTCATGTCCTCCCCACGCACAGAGAGAGATAAAACTCATTTCTGTCGTAGTTACAGCACGTTGTCTTGACTCAGCATTTGTGAAAGCTGTTACTCACAGCTCCCTGCAGGCACAGGCTGCAGGTTCCCTTTTGGGGCTCTGTCATTAGTGCAGGACTCAAAAACTTTGGGCTCTCCAGCACAGGAATTATAGAATAAGAGAA